TCCGATTTCGGTATTATGATTACAAATACGCCAATGATGGGTATCAATTTGTACTTCGAGACCTGGGTCTTGGGACCGGCCATGTGCGATCTGTATGGCGGCTTGGGTTCGGCCTTTGGCTGCAGTTCCATTTGGTCGATGTGCATGATCTCGCTGGATCGTTATCAAGTCATTGTCAAGGGTGTAGCTGGTCGACCAATGACTATTAAATTGGCGCTAATGAAAATTGCCTTCATCTGGGCTATGGGCAGCATCTGGACATTGGCGCCGGTGTTCGGCTGGAGTCGGTGAGTGCGATAAACGAGTTAGGAAATAATTTAAATTGTATTTTTTCGCTGATTTCAACTTTTCGCTTTAGGTATGTACCTGAGGGTAATCTGACTTCATGCGGCATTGATTATTTGGAGCGCGATTGGAATCCACGTTCATATCTGATCTTCTACACCATCTTTGTCTACTTTCTGCCGCTGTTCTTGATCTGCTATTCCTACTGGTTCATCATTGCTGTAAGTACTTAGTGCTGTTTCAAGACTGATTTGTAAATCTTTGAATACGCCCTTTTGCACTCATCAACTAACTAGGCTGTGTCAGCTCACGAGAAAGCCATGCGCGAACAGGCCAAGAAAATGAATGTCAAATCTTTGCGCTCTTCTGAGGATGCCGAAAAGAGTGCCGAGGGCAAATTGGCCAAGGTGGCGCTGGTCACCATCTCGTTGTGGTTCATGGCGTGGACACCATACTTGGTGATCAACTGCATGGGCCTATTCAAATTCGAGGGATTGACCCCACTGAATACCATCTGGGGTGCTTGCTTTGCCAAATCGGCTGCCTGCTATAATCCCATTGTCTACGGTATCAGGTGAATACTAGAATATGATAGAGGATTAATCCTTTCGTTCGAGAAATATATACTTTTGTATACACAAATAACCCCCTCTCTCTCTCTCAACTTCTTCACTCACAATTAGCCATCCTAAATACCGTTTGGCGCTGAAAGAGAAATGCCCATGCTGTGTGTTCGGCAAGGTTGACGATGGCAAGTCCAGCGATGCCCAATCGCAAGCCACCACCAACGAATCCGAGTCCAAGGCATAAGTGGTTGGAG